ATTTTGATGTATTGTAAGTTCCGATTGAACTGAAATTGTTTATAATAAATGCAATGAAAAAATGGACATTTTAGACGGTTTTTTGCACTTTTCTCGGTAAATAAATAACGTAATTGATCGTGGTTAGGCTCAAATTAAAGGTCTAATTACAAGCTACAACTTTTAATTGAACTTTTTTTTTATTGCTGTTCATGGAAAAGCTACAAGGACGAGAATGTGATTTTTCTACCCTTCTAACCATCCCTCTACCTCAACCACCACTCGAAAACTTACGCACCTAAGAGTGCTTGTACTTATCGAGACCAACAAATCCCATACGGTCCGGTGCTGTCCCTAAGTTTGCCAAACCCTAATAGTATACTTCTAGTCGCGTCAAACTCGAAAAATAAAATTACATATAAGCCTAGTCAAAGCCAAGATGAAAACTGTTTACAACTAAAGTTAAATACGGTCAAAAACCAGTAGAAAACCGCGTTTTAACCGGGTTTAATCCAGGTTTGATCCAGGTCTAATCCGGGTTTAATCCAGGTTTAATCCAGGTTTAATCCGGGTTTAATCCAGGTTTAATCTGGGTTTAATCCAGGTTTAATCCGGGTTTAATCCAGGTTTAATCCAGGTTCAATCCGGGTTTAATCCGGGTTTAATCCAGGTTTAATCTGGGTAAAAATATGGGTCAAAATCCAGGTTATGAAACCAGGATTAATCCGGGTTATGATCCGCGTTATAAATCCAGGATTAATCCTGGTTATAATCCGGGTTAAAAATCCGGGTTAACAATCCAGGTTGAAAATCCGGGTTAACAATCCAGGTTGAAAATCCGGGTTAAAAATCCGGGTTAACAATCCAGGTTGAAAATCCGGGTTAAAAATCCGGCTTAAAAATCCAGGTTGAAAATCCAGGTTAAAAATCCGGGTTAACAATCCAGGTTGAAAATCCGGGTTAAAAATCCAGGCTAACAATCCAGGTTGAAAATCCGGGTTAAAAATCCGGGTTAACAATCCAGGTAGAAAATCCGGGTTAAAAATCCGGGCTAACAATCCAGGTTGAAAATCCGGGTTAAAAATCCAGGTTAACAATCCAGGTTGAAAATCCGGGTTAAAAATCCGGGTTGAAAATCCGGGTTGACAATCCAGGTTGAAAATCCGGGTTAAAAATCCGGGTTGAAAATCGAGGTTGAAAATCCGGGTCATAATCCGGTTTGGAAATCCGGGTTAAAAATCCGAGTTAAAAATCCAGGATTAATCGGATGTATAATCCGGGTTATAAATCCAGGATTAAAAATCCAGGATTATTCGGATGTATAATCCGGGTTAAAAATCCAGGATTAAAAATCCGGGTTATCAATCCAGGGTTAATCCGGGTTAAAAATCCAGGATTAATCCTGGTAAAAATCTGAGTTAAATCCAGGTCAAAACCCGAATTTAATCCAGGTAAAAATCTTGGTTAGAAACCAGTGAATAATCGAGCTTTAACCCGATAGAATGTTGGCCGATACTCAGATGTAAAAAATCATATAAAACTGTTTAAAACCCGGTTATAAAGCTGGTGAGTATCCGATGGTTGTAAAAATAGATTAAATGTAAGATTAAATCTAGTTAAAAACCTGGTTTTACACCAAGGCTCAGGATTAAAACCTATTTTAATCGGTTCGTACCCGAGGTGCGAATCAGTTAAAAGCCCAGGTTATCACTAAACTGGAATGCGTTCTAAAAAACAATATTGTAAATGAGTGCGAGTAGGAGAACACCGGGCACTATGCACATTTTCGAGCCGGGTAAAATTAAAAAAAGTAATTTAAATAAGCAGTTTGCAATAACCGTATTACTTGGTTTTATTTGTATCGTAGCTCTAGCTGTGCCAGGATATCCCGGCTAACATGGCTACTGTGGACGCACCCAGTACTTTCCTCGCAACAGTCCGCGCCGCGAGTTTTTTTTCTCTCTCTCTCTCTCTCATCGGCGCACACACATATGTTAAACGTGCGCGCACGTATACCGCATAATATGCACACAAACACACGTACGCAACACATGTTAAATAGAATTCAGCTAACACACAAGTGCACTTACATACGCTTGCGAATTGCTCATATGTATATCGAGCCCGTACGTGTAATATGCGCGATTATATTGACCGAGGAAATTATGATGCCCGTCTGTGTGTGTATATATCTGTGTGAATGCGTAAATTGTTATATATTTCATTTGCTCTCGCGCGGTAATATAATCTGCTTTTCTATTTTATAATCGACTTTGCATGTATAGCGTACGCGAAGCGTGTGTTAGCCGCGTGTTATTCGCATTAATGGCTGCAGTGTCGGACTAGGCTACGAGTGTGTGTATCGCGCTTCATGGATTCATCTCTCGCAGCGGCGAAGCTGTTGTGTTACAATACTACTGTTATTACGGCCGCGAGCAATCGCACGGTTACGAAAAATGAATAATATATTATACATACTTGCCAAAACTTTCGGCGGTATTATCGAAAAACGGCATCTCTCGCTCGGAGTTGTTATACATAACGCGGCGGGCTCGCTCCGAATGTGTAAATGTGTCTGCGTTCATATGAGAGCCTTTCACGCCGCGCTGCAGCCAGGCGATGCATACACGTGCCTTTTATAAGTTGCACGCTCGCAGCAAGAGAAAATTAATTCGTTGAATTATCCTCGGTACAGGCACCGCGCACTCGATTACCGCAGCGTATCAATTTTTGGCAGTAGAGAAACTACTGCTGCTGCTGCTGCTGCTGCTGCTGTTGTTATTAATTCGTACAGTATTCTCGTATGCCTGTTGAAGAAAGAATTGCCTGATAGTGTCATCGAATCATACTTACGGTACGTAGTTGAACGATAATTCGTTGTGATAACGACCATTTGCCGAGAGAAGTCAGTTATATATAGGGATTGTTAGGATATGCATTTTTTACATTTAAATTAATTTGGGAGAGGTCAGTAAAAGGTTATTTCCAATCACGACAAAATCTATAATATTTTTTATTATTTTATTGTTCTTCAGGATAATTATTTAAATCATTTTCTAACATTACTTAGAATACTCATGTGATCGCGGAAGTTTTTATCACGTCCAAATGCCTATTGACAAATCTCACGCTCCTAATAAACTTTGCTTCAATTATATACTATATTGCATGTATGCATTTTTATAGGTTTTGAGATTATTCTAGCATCTAAATGGTTTATGACAAACCTCATATTCAAAGGGTTTGATTTGATTAAGTACTTCATCTACGTGTAATTTGAGGAAATCCTTGCGGGTGTATGATTCATGACATGTTTCACACTCAAAAAATTAGCTTACATCTTTATGTACTCACTTAATATGTATTTTCAGTACATTATGGTATCCAAATGATTTGTGAAAATTTTCACACTCGTGGGGTTTTCTTCGATTATGAACTGCATTTGTGACAAATGTCACAATCGAAGGATTAACTCTTATAGTGTACTAATTTAATGTGACGCTGAAGGTGATGTTTATATCCAAATGATTTGTGACAAAACTGACACTCGAAGGTGGTGCTGCTATCGTGTACTACACTTATGTGCGTTTCGAGGTAGTTCTGGCATTCAAATGATTTTTGACAAATGCTGCATTCGAAGCATATAAATACGAGCGTGTACTGTATTTATATGCTTCCTATGATCACCCTTGTAAAAAAATGATTTGTGAAAAATCTCACGTTAGAACAGTTTATTACGATAATGTACCGCAATTATGTGACATTCGAGTGTATGCTTGCGACTACATGACTTGTGACAAATGTCACACTCGAAGGGTTTGCTACGATCATGCATTGCATTGATATGAACTTTGAGGGTACTTTTTTGTCCAAATGATTAGTGGCAAATGTCACACTCGAAAGGTTTGCTACGTTCATGTACTGAATTTACGTGTTTCTTGAGGTTTCCTTTGTATCCAAATGATTTGTGACAAATTTCACACTCAAAGGGTTTGCTCCGATCATGTACTGAACTCATGTGTTTATTGAGATCACTTTTTTGTCCAAATGATTTGCGGCAAATTCCGCACTCGAAGGGTTTGTTACCATTGTGTACTACGTTTATGTGAGATTTGAGATGATGTTTTAGAACAAATGATTTGTGACAAATTTCACACTCGAAAGGTTTGCTACGTTCATGTACTGCATTTATGTGATTGTTGAGGGTACCTTTTTGTCCAAATGATTTGTGACAAATATCACATTCAAAGGGTTTTTTACATTCATGTACTGCATTTATGTGATTGTTGAGGGTACCTTTTTGTCCAAATGATTTGTGACAAAAATCACATTCAAAGGGTTTGTTTTGATTATGTACTGAATCTATGTGGTTTTTGAGAACATTGCTGTATCCAAATGATTTGTGACAAATTTGACATTCAAATGGTTTGATTTGATTATGTACTATATTTATGTGGGTTTTAAGATTATCTTTTTGCTCAAATGATTTTTGACAAATGTCACATTCAAAGGGTTTCTCTTGTTTATGTACCGACGTAATGTGCCTTTTAACGTTATACTGATCTCCAAATGTCTTATTACACATCTCACACTTAAAGGGCTTGATATGTGCTGAGTTGACGTGACGTTTCAGAAGACTTTGACAATTGAAAGACGCATGAAAAATTTCACATTTATATGGTCTGATGCTCTTATGTGCCGTGTTGTTATGTCTTTTTAGATTCTCTTTGAGTTTGAAAGTTTTTCGACACATTTTACACTCATAAGATAATTTGGTACGAGATGTTTTTTTAAATGTTTTTATGTTTTTATCATCCTAGACTTACTACATTTTAATCTAAAATTGAGTGGTATATGGCAACTACCATCATGATTGAATTCTTGTTTTGCCAACGGACTTTTATCGTTCAAATAATTGGTCTGCAGTTGGTTTTCAATTTTCACAAATGTGGAATAACTTTGATACTCAGTTTTGCAGTTGGTTGTTGATAAAGACTTCGATTCAGGCTTAACATCTTTGCACTCGAAATCAATGAATATTTCATTCAAATAATTTGTCTGGTTTTGGTTTTCTATTTTCACAACTGGTGTATTACTTGGATCTTCAGTTTTGCAGATTTTTGTCGAAAAAGATTTTGGTTCAAATTTAACATCTTTGCACTCGAAATCTACGAATATTTTTTGGTCCAACTTTTCATGTAATTCCTTAACCTCACCCGCGTGATTTGCCTATAATTAAAATTGTGGAATAGTTTTGGATATTGTAAAGACAAAATGTACTTAAAATCATTAAACTCACCGATGATTTAAATGTTTTAAAGGTTTTGACTTCACAAGAGTTCATCGAATAAAAATTATAATCATCGTCTGCTTCTGGCCAAGTAACGTTAGGTTCTTGTTTTACCCTGAGGAATAATAAAGTTTGATGAAGCGATCGACCCAAAAAATACAAAGGGAATAAACAAAAAAATGTTATACCTAACTATGTCCTCTTTACTTTCCACCACTCGTTTTATTATATGAAATCACAGTGAATTTTCAAGATTGGCACTGAGAAAATATTCGAGGTTATACGTCTCGAATAGCCAACACTATATCTTATATTCGCTTTCACAGATATTATTTGTAAACACTTGCTTACTGCAGGAATTTAGCTCTTTGCTAGCGATCAAACGCTCCGAGACCCGAGTCGACATAATTAGTGAGAAGACCCCACGAACGCGATAATAGCTCCTTGGCTTCTTACTTCCTCTACCTTAGATCGATTTTGCGCTAAAAGAACTCGCGTGTCATTAAAATTACATCGAAATTTTTTGTATAAATGTCCTTTCAGGCGCAAAGTTAGCTTACTAATACGCACAATATATGCGGATATTCATACAAATAAAAAGAGAAATACATCTCTAAACCCTTGACGTTTGATTGTACAATGACATTATATCAATGAGATATTAAAACTTGTATCGAATGAGTCATTGGAGCTGTAGATGAAAATAACTATGGCAGACGCGGCAATAATTTGGTAAAATATATTTCTTTCTCTTTTTCATTTAAAAAAGTGATAGCTTGACTGTGTCTTTGAAATAAGCGTGTTGCGATATTGATCGTGGAAACGCGCAGGCGGCATACAATGAATCGAGCGCACATTTTTACATTCTTGATAACGTGATCGAGTATCTTGTGCGCTTGCATCGCTAAAATGATGCGACTAGTATATATCACATTTTAAAATCCTATAGGCATGTGAATTTTATATACGAGTGACCCGGGGAGGTCTACTATATACCGTATTACACGGTCCAAGCATGCGGCCGAATTCTCAAGCTGGCCCGCGCAAACTCTTAAATACCACTTTACACTACAGGCGCTTACAGCAGCAGCAGCAGCCGCAGCGCCAGCGAGAGTTTTCGCGAGCCGTTGCGGGGAACAAAAGCGATTCGCCGCGCCGTAGAGCCGAACGAGCTCGAGCGAGAGAGCTCCAAAGCCTGTTTCAAGTCACTTTTATACATACATAGAAGCGATATAGTCTACGTACACGTATGTGTGTGTGTGTGCGCACATTATTGCGCGGTCATTTCGCAACCGCCCACGTGCTTTGTTGTGTTCGGCAGCGGCGTCGGCGGCGCGCGTTCACCGGCGATTTCTCTTTCTCCGACTTATTATATACATGGCTCGCGCGAACTCGCGGCACACACACACACACACATGCAGGCACACATTCATATTATGAACAAATACATAAATGCGGCAGACCCATATCGCACTGATAAATTGTCCAAAGTTATTATAGCTCTTGTATTGATTGAATAACATTATAACGGTAGCTTTTTATTTTTCGGCGCTTTTCTCCAACGGAGCGGTAGCGGCACACGTACCGATACACTCCACACAGGCGCATATTATGTATGAGCATAAATATAATGAATTTGCTCGAGCTAGTTTACTTTTTACAACATAAATATCATATCGCGGCTGCTACCGACGTATGTGTGTGTGTGTGTGTATAAATATTATCGAACGCGTCGATTACGAAAGTGAAACTGGTTTTACTTTCGATCCGCGGAGCGCGAATTTTACGTACACGTATATCGATCCTCGTGCGCTCCAAAGACGTCAAAGATTATCGTATACTTTTTTTTTCCTGTTGACTTTCATTCGAGTATAGTGGAGAGAGATGTTTATATACGCGAAGAGCAGATGTCCCGAATTTTGCGACTTATAAGCTTCACGGAGAGAGGACCATGAGCTGGAGCTGCTGCAGAGCATACATTCGCGCGCGCTCTCTCTCTCTCTCTCGCTGTATCCTCTTTCTTCGCGGGGGACGAAACCATTGTAAAGTCGAGCTCGTTTTTTTTTCTAGCAGCGCTTACTCTTGCGGAACTCCGATCTATTATCCTCCTTACGTAATCCGTTATAGTCTTGTGACTTTATGCTTGTGTATATGGCGTTCTTGCGCGAACGAGACAATCGTCAAGATATTCGACGTTTCTCGCTGCAAGCAGTACGCGCGTCAAAGTGTTGTAATCGATACATAGAACAGATATGTGTGCGCGTGTAGATTTAACGACGTCGTTCCGGGATACGATTAATTGCAACATAACGCGCATTTTTTCCTGTATCCTTCGCTTGCATCGCCTTTTTTCTACGAGAAAAATTGTTATTTAGACTCGTCTGGTCGTGGAGCGTGCTTGCTCGAGCGTATTTTTTTTTTTTTAGTTTGTTTGTTGCCGAATCATGCCGGGCGCGCACGAGTTTTTAGTGACATTGACTGTCAAATCGTCCCGCACCGGTTTCGGGCACTCGATACCGGAAATTTAGTGAATGGTTGATCGTGAAAAAAAGAACGACGTCGTAACCTTGAATTGTAAAGTTTTTCGAGACATATAAATGATTGTTTAGTCGAGAATTTACTATAAAGTAGCATCGAAAACTCGTCGATTAAGCATCTTGAACGATATGTAATTATATTTCAACGAGTTGTCACTGAAAAATTCTTCAATTTGGGTTTTTGAAACATTTTCGCGGTGACTGCGCAAGAAGAGCTGTTGCGCATTTTAAAACAAAAGGACGGGGATTGGTAGAAAATTAAAGAATTTATATGCGGAAAATAAATATTATTTAAAATAATTTTTGAACATTTTTATTTTTCTAACTTTATTTGCAGTGGTTCTTTAACATCCATTACTATTTGACATAACTAACTATAATAAATTGAGAATGAGAGTTCTTAGAAGTGAGTTATTCTAATAAAAAAGTACGAAATGAAGGAATGAATTTGGATGATTTTATTGATAATAATTTTATTTGTTTAGAGAAAATTTTATTAATAATTATATACGATAAATCATTTATTCTAAATAGTTGCATAAATAATATTCATGTCCCTAATTTATTCAAAAAAGAGAAATCATATTAATATGTAGTTATTCCGTTGCTAAAACAAAATAAATATCGAACTTTTATACCCTGCAAGATCACAAACCAAATGCAATAATTTTCTATGGTTATCACCTAGTTTATTAATTAGCTTTCAAACATAGTATAAAAACAAAAAATACAAATCACAAGTCCGCTAGATAGGATTTTTTACAGGGGATACATATTATTGGGTACAATTGGTTATGAATCGACATACATATTAATTGGGATGACTGATGGTTGATAAATTATTTTCCAGACGAATGTATAATTAATGAAGCATTATGAAGATGATTCAGCCTATTCCTAGCTTTGGCCTGTAGCAGCCAAGCAAACACGCCCTAATTCTTCGCACGTCAGATTTTTGATGATTATTTCACAGCAGAGAATCGGCAACCGATAACGTGTCAGCTCCAAGAAAAATTCTAATGACCATCGTCGGAAAAATCGTCTCAATTTCATTTCGTGCAGGTATTCGATACAATTTAACACCTGTTCCTTAGATCTTTCCCAATACGACCAATTTCTGAACTTGGGCACGAACTTCAAGTAGTCCGTGTATGTGAATGATTTTTCTGCCTCTTCGGGTCGTAATCGAATCAGGTCGTAGAACGACAGACTCGAATTAATCAGCAACTCTTTCGTTCTGCTCGCGAACTTCTCGTCGCCGTACCAACATCCGTCGAGATCCGCTGACTTCTCGAACAATCCTCGCTTAGTGAAAAATTTTATGATCGTCAGGGCGTCGCTTCGGTCCAGCTCGTATCCTCTTCTTTCTAGCCGCTCGACGACGGCCAGCGAGCGAGAAGCTCGTGCTATCTGCGACCATTTGCTGTTTCGTCGTTCATACCCTCTGGAGCTCTCGTCGAAGTGACTCTCAGTGGGAAAAACGAATTTTGACAAATCAGCACCTCGTTCAAAGAGCATATCGATGGTATCCGGCAAAAAATTCGTCACAGCGAATTGCAGCGGCGTCCGACCCAAGTTGTCCGCGGCATCGAGCAGCACCGTTTGATGTCTGTCGTCGTTGATCTTGAAAAATATCGGCGCCAAGTTAGCGTCATAGTCGCTCATGCAAACAACGTGCAGAGGAGTGAGTCCTTCTGCGCTGGTTAAATTGGGGTCGGCCCCATATTCCAGCAGCAATTGTGTCACTTCGTGCTGATCGTTAAGCACAGCCGAATGTAGCGGTGGAAGCGGAAAATGCTCGTTCGATGCTTGCGCGGGACAATCCGGATGCTGACCGAGCTCGAGGAATCTCTTTACGACGTGTTCCAAGCCAGTCACGCAGGCCACGTGAAAATGCGTCAGTCCGGTCTCTTCGCTGATGTAATTTAAGTCGTATCTGTCATATATTTGGAATAGATCGTAGGAGGCGATGGCTGCTGTTTTCAAATAGTGCAGTGGAGTGGTGCGATGCAACAGTGGCTTGCCGTTCTCATCTACCTCGGGCTCGTCCTTGTAGCCGGTCTGAACCACGAAACTGATGAATCGTTCTCCTTCACAGATAAATGCGGGACTGTCCTTAATCATTGCGGGCACCACGATAAGAAGCCATTCAATTTCTTCCTTGCGAAAAATATCTCGGAGATCGGGAAGTGGGCCTTTCCAATTTTCGCTCAATTCGAAAAGTTGCAAGATAAATTTAGCTCGCTCTGCTTTAATTTCCCAATTGACATTATCTCGCAGAGTTTTCAATTTTTTCGCGTAGTTTCGATCGTCTTCGGACATTGTTTCATACACTCTCGCACAAATACAGTTGATGATAATTTATAACAGTCACACACGAGAATCACTATACGACCGCAGTCGACACGATCTTCCTCTATTTACTCCACGGCTGTACGTAACCTGTAAGTGAGAACTGAACGACTCGACGTGAGACGAGGCACTGACAAATGCGCGCGCCCGCGTCTTTGTTATATGCGCCGGCCGCCACAAGCTTAAACGTAAACATACCGAATTAACGAATTACTACGAAGCGATGACGTTTTGGAACGCATTGACCGGCGCTTGATATTATTTTGCGGGCCTGTATGGACACGTTTGTTGTTTCATGATAATTCTGCAACTCTATATTTTATCGTTGAACCGATCATCACTAATAATGCCCATCTTATCTGTAGCTCTGAATGCTCGTTCAGAAAATCATGACCATTTTCTTTTAATCTTTTGTATTAAAAAGAAACGTATACATTTATAAAACAATTTATTTTTCGATTACTTTATTCACGGCGAAATCGATTTTCGAGCCCATTAATTAGCCTCTATCATAATTAGTGGGTTCAATTATACCGATTAATTCGATTAATTAGCTCACCTCGCACGAGAGATGAATTGGCGGTAACAACGTTCGCGAGCCACCATATCGAGAGTCGAGTTTGATTTGAAAAAAAAAAAATAAATAAAAAAGAATGAAAAAGAACGCGAGCTACGAGCGAGCCCCGGTATATACGCGCAGCAGCATGGCATTGCATAATGCGTATTAATTTACTTTGCGCGCATAATTAACGTCTCTCGGTCGTTTAGCCTCGCTTTTGAAAAGGCCGTTCTCGTGTGTGCGTACGTCAAACAAATGATGGCCCTCCCGTGCCGCACACATACATACGGACGCGATACACGCGAATATTCATTCGGCTTTTCATTATATTTCGGAAACAAAGCTCTCCGCGAATTACAAACCCTGTTCGTGTAAAATGAAGCCGCGCGCGGCGACGTGGTGCCTTTCCCCGCGCGTGTACATGTATCCGTCGAACTGCTATATAACGGACGCGTGCGCACCTCTCGGCATTTCTTTGTTCTCTTTTATTAGTGTCGAATTCGCGGGCCCACGAGCTGTGCACAATAATCCGACTGTAATATCAACGGTCGCGCTCGCATTTCGAGGCGGTGCGCGTATACTCGGCGCGGTCGATTTTTTACTTTTTACTCTTTATTTTGGCCGATGTAATTGGTATAATAATAATGCTAAAAAATATACATTGTACGCGGATACACGAGCTTGTGTTGCGTTGCATAGTTCGGCAAAAGCTTCGTTTCGCGCGTTTACGGGTGTTTCGCGAAATTAAATTTCACTGCGCAGTGCGTGAGTTTTGTACGTAAAATCGCAACGATATTCAGGGTGTACGAGATTCCCGGGATTATCAGGAGGAATTAGTGCTTGTATCGTTCGTCGACTGCTGCAGGTACACGCGCGCGCGCGCGTGTGTGTGTGTGTGTGTGCATGCACGTTGTCTTGAAACTCGATAATGGTATTGATTCCGGAGCCCGCATGATCGTTCCGAAAAAGAATGCCTACAATTGCAAATGGTCGTATAGATAAAAAGCTGAGCCACTCGGTATCTGCATCCTTTCTTTGATACAATCTACCGCGGAAAAAAACACATCCATATTTATTTTTCGCTGTCGTATACGTATAATAGCTTCGCAGGCTCTCAGATACCGCGCGAAACACGAAACTCGAATTTCGCCTTTATTTATCGTTAATTCAACGATTGCCTTTGCGTACACGTAGCATTGAAACACGTTGTTAAATAAAATATTATTCTTTATTGTTTCAGCGGACGCAGTTGGGGCCGATGAGGTCGGCAAAGCACCGGCGACACTCTCGTAGATTTAGTTTGCGTTATCGCGGCAAAAGGAGACGAGTGAAACAACGACCTCAGCAAGTACAATTAGCTACAATCGCATAAAAGAGAGCCCCCTCCAGCATCGCCACACACACACATACACACACGTCCGAGTCAATTATCATTTTTCTTTTCGCCAAAGGCTGGGATGATATTGGAAGAGAAATCAGGAGGTGGCGGTGCAGCAGCAGCAGCAGAAGCAGTTAGAGTCAGTAGTAGTAGTTTGATATCGCCTTCGAAGGCGAAGGCGATCACAGAAGAGGAGGAGACGCCGACGACGAGGAAGGCGAAGACGATGCCGTTGGCCAGGCTTAGGTAGCAGCGTCGCCACCAGCAGCCATCCAGCAGCATCTCCTGCAGGTACCGCGCTACTACCATGCAGCCGGCCCTGACGCTACTCCTCGTCTGGCTTGCCCTCGTAGCAGGCCTGCCCCTGCAACCACCCAAGCCGCATTTGGGTAAGTTTATCTCGACGTATATTTAATTGTAATTATTTTGATGCGAAACTTTCGATGGATAAGTATGTGTATTTTTTTGACTTTCTACTTTTTTTTAGTGTTTTTAGATTTTTTATAAAATTTTATTGAAGTTTCAGCAGTTATCCTTAGACAGCTGCTTATTGGTTATAAAAATGAGTTATGTTTTTGAAGAAAAATTTAAGGATTATGACACCGTTACCATTTTTTTTTGTAGTATCAGGATTTATTGTAATTAAAGGTGTCATAATATATCACTGTCAATTTGTTGATACTGTCAACAGATGGAGCCTTGTAAACTCGCAAGTGGTAAAAAAATGTCCCATTAGTATATAATTAAGTGGAGCTTCTATTATTATTATAAATATCTGCTTACTAAACGTCTGTGTATTATAAATATATTTTTATTAATTTAAACGACTGACAACAGTTTTGTCATATTGTGATTAATAATTGTTGAACAATGGTATATTTAATCCAGGTTTTCAAGGTTTCGAAAATTTCTAGAATTATGTTAACTAGTCATTTTTACCTATTCAAGCGTTTGTTCTCTACGTACAATTCACAAAATAAAAGTACATATTGACCTTGAATAATCGAAGAAAAAACGGCTTTGACGCGCTCATATCCATCCGGCAGCTCGTGTCAAGGATTAATGCACTTATAAACGGGCCGCTACTGCTGCCGCTTACGTTTGTAGCAAATGCGCATCGAGGTGCCTATACAGCTTAGCGCGTAGGAAAAAAAATTCGAAATAGGCACAATATACGACGACGTGTCGCAAGTAAATAAAAATGCCTCGGTGCACACGCTCGAAATAGTCTCAAGCGCCTGCAAAATTCCTTCGTGTCTCTCTTTTTCTCTCTCTCTCTCTCTCCGAATGACGTCCGCGTGTTTAAAAGGAGACCTAATTGAGACGTATAATATGGTACGTCTAAAGATTTACGCGATCGCGACACTTACGGATAATACGTATAGTCAGACTATGACGGAACGAGTCTCGAGTCTCGCGTTTATGTGTGTGTATGTGTGTGAGTGAGTGAGTGTAGTGCAGTGCGCGTCGTTGTTGTTGTTGTCTCGAGATTCTAACGACAGGCACCTCTATTTCATTTGTCACGAGTTGAATTGGATTCCTTGATCTGACTGTGATTCATGAGGTGTGCGCGCACGGCGGCAGCCTTACCCCCGCGCGCAGATGTAATTTTTGCATCTCCGTTTTTTCTTTCTTCGTGTTGTCGTCTTATTCTTTTTTTTTTTTGCCTGCTTCATGCCGCATGCACCGACAGCCATGTAGAACGAAGCGGGAGATGCATCTCGACTTATTTCGCTCGGATGCTCGCTTTGTATTATAATATCGTGTATATAAGCTTTTTGTTTTCGTTCCGGAACATTTTTTATAAACAAAAACAAATGATACATCGCTCGCGGCGCACGAGTGATATTATCATTAGTATTAAAAGCAGAGGCCATTAACACAGTTCGATCGTTCAATTTTGATGCAATGCATAATTCGACTGCGGTGCGAGTAAATTATCGGCTTACTCGTATTGCACCTATTTTCCATTAATTGCATAAACGTTGGTATATTGGTGCGTAATATTTTTATTACGCGCGCGCGCGTTTGTGTTTGCTACTAAATACATAAACAATAATTGGCGCATTAACCATGTAGATTTGAATAAATCTTGACTGAACTGAAAAAAAATAATACAAAATCATTTCAAATGTAGTTTATTATATCGGATTAAAATTTTTTTTCAAGTTGCGATATTTGTTGAGTAATTTTAAGGCGATAGTGAAATAAATTGAGAAAGAAATCGTGGCCTTTAGTTAGATTTAAATCTTAAATTTTTCAAATGGAATGATAAGAAATGTAGTATTGCATCAATAATAAATGATTAACGATTATTTTTTAATCATATTGAAACTAATATTTTAGATGAATGACTAATGTACCAACGTTTCGTAAATTTTAATTAGCCTTAGCAGAGTACTAAATTCGTTGTTTAGTTTGCTACATTGATTTTAGTGCTATGAACTAATTACCATCTTTCACAAATAGACGAACTTGACCAGATGAGTCATGCTCTTGAGTAAAGTAACACTGCACTTTAAACCGCGATGAAGGCAGCTGCATTAGACTTTTTAGATAAATCATTACTAGCGAAGTGTGCGAAAGACTTAAAAATACGGTTTGTTGCAAACTGTTTGATTAATAGTCATTTTAATTTCAATTTGTTTTAGAAACTTGTTTTAACTTCTACTGAAAAATTATATTGTTCGAAATTAAACTTGTTATAGAATGAATTACATGGATCATAGATACAAATTAGTCTAACCGATAAACACGTATCCAGTTAAAATTTTGAGTAACCCAATCGTTCATGACGAATTTTGTAAGTGAAAACTTTTAACATTAAGATCGTTTCAATAATTACTGGAAAATTGCTTTGACCATCAAGTTTCTATCTGCATAATTTTGTACTAGTTTCGATTTTGATATTCTTATTTTTTTACATTCAATTACCGGCAGGGTTATAAAAAATGAATCCATAATTCCCAATTCTAATTTGATATGTGCTCACTGTCTCGTTTTGTCTTAGTTCGAGCAGTGACCATTAGATGGCATATTTCTTTCCGATAGAGAAAAGTCTTAGTTAAGGATTAACTATCGAGTATCGAGAATTCTTATAACACGCTTTCATAATTTTTATCCTTTTCTCAAAATTAAATAAACAGTTATAACTCGGATCTCTTTCATCCAATTATTCTCCGTGTATATATTTTAAAGGAAGCGCAATTAGGGCCGCGATGCACAGTTACGCGATTTGTCGACAAAATAAATCATGAGATTGAGTTCACAAATAAGAGAAAGAGAGAGAGAGAGAAGAAAAAAAGTGTCCAAGTGTGTTTTCACCCGCATTCGAGCGTAGCCGAGATTCAGTGTGTGCCCAGGCGATGCCGTTGCTGCTAATACTGCTGTGCACGGCCCACAAAACGACACATTGTATACAGGCTCGCGTACGTAGGTGTACACACAATATTTATCATCTAGCCTCCGTGAACACACATGTTTGGTACACTTATATATCGTACGGTACGGGTTGGCGGCAATTAGCTTTATTTCCGATTTATATGTAATATGGGACACGCGCGCTCGAGTACGAGGCAATCTCTCGCACGGCAGAGGCCAAGTTCTGCGTGCACCTAGAGCAGTGCAGCTAGTGTATACATATATATACAGTAGTGTGTCGTGTCGTGTCGTGCAACATATCGCAGCGCCATAGATCGCCTATTATATGCAGCAGCTCACGGTTCTCCGTAGCCTATATAAAATGCATTGCTGTTGCTGCTGCTGCGGCGACGTATGCCGCGCGCATGGTTGTTATCCCACGCGATATTTTTATACACATATGTATCGCTAATTCTCCTTGTAGCTCCTTTTTCTTTCGCCTTCGTTTGGTATATATATATGTATAGTAAAAGCCATGTAGATGTTAGAGTATACTCGCAGCTCGTAGCTCCGAGCTCGCGCGACTCCGTTAAAAAACGCGTGGGACGATCATCGTGTACACGTACTCGACCGAATTTTCAATGATCTAGAAATGTGTGCTTGTATCGTTGCAGTAGATTCGACTATCGTACGAATCGGCGACCGAATTCTTGCCAATTTTTGTTGTTGTTATTCACTAGTTTCTACCGCCTCGAGATAGTATTAGCATAGTTTTTCAGTCAAAATTAATTAAAACGGCTTTGATTCAACGACGCACTATCATACGAGTATATTTACATTTACAAGAACAACTATTTTAATTAAAAGTTTAATTATACAAAATATCAATAGATTTAATTAGCGGTTATCGAAGGTTATCCGCTACTATGACAACATTTTATTCCAACCATAAAACGTTCAATACAAACTGTCAAACTGTTGATGACCTGTTCAAGTAAAATTATTCATGTTAGACGAAACGATTTACGCATAAGTATTTTTGTAATTTTCAATGACTCAATGCATTATCTGATTGTATCCTTCTACTCAGGGATTTAAATGAAGTATTGTTGATGTTTGTAGTGGATAGCCTTCAATTTTATTAACACTAATACTTGTCACACGAAAGGTAACACAACAATTTTGAGTACTAATCATTTTCAAGCGTTATTAATTTTTTTTTCTTGCAATTTTGAACGAACAAATGAATTGTAAAAAAATCGTCTACCAAAGCAATTTCGTGAACATTCATGAGAATATCTCATAGTTGAACCGGTCAATCAGATATATTAAAAATGAAAATTTTCGTTGAAAAAAGTGTCATGCTCTCAAACGGATTTCGTCGTCACGTCGCGTCGAGGCTCTCGTCGTGATTTACACACATATATTACACGTCGCAGTACGAAAATCGCAACGAGAGTCGAGTAAGCAAATTCGCGCGCACGAGGGTCACTTTTTCTTGTCCTTCTCTTTCTTTCTGTCTCTCAATCTATCTCTCGTATAAATGCTGAGATGCTTACGTCCGCACCTTACAGGCCGTCTCTCGAGATTCAGTTATATACCTCGTGGTATATATAGCTATGTATGCTATGTGTATGCGTATAAGCCGGAGTTGCTAACTACTAGAGCGCGTCACCGATAACGGGAAACGCGTTGGCGTTTTTCTCGCCTCGATTGCGCTTCTATACATATATCGAGGCCTCTACATATACGCGAGACTCTACTTGGACTGGTGAGCATTATGTATGTGCACTCGCATGTATACGAATACTGTATATATACATGTTCGTAGCCGTTACGGTCTGTGGGTTGCTGCGAAAAGCCGAGACGTATACATACGATATGCGTATACGCCGAGTGCATATGTGTAGCAACATAATGGAACTAAGCGATGCGTCTAGCGAAAACCTGACGCGAAGATTCAGATTCTCTTTGATTCTATTTGTGTTCTTCTGCAGTGCCAGTTGATTGTCTTATTGGGAAAAATTAGACTAAAAATCGATCGATTTGTATGCGTGTGCTTAAATACTGGTATAATCTTGCAAGTTGATTACAGGCAAAAATTGTTAACTCTGCGTCGATATCTTTTCATATAACCTCGTCAATGGTAGGGAGATGGTAAAACAATTATTTATGGTGAAAGAATCTCAGACAAAAAATAGAAAGACGATTTCGCTTTGCTTAGCACTCCATAACATCCATTTTCGTAGCATCTTTTTCAGTATTTGCCTCATTATGTAAATCCATGTTTAGTCGGTGAAAACCAGCCCTGATTGCGTGAGGCTCTTTATTCTTAAAAATGTTTCTCATCGCTTGACTCGAAAGAACTTCCAATCTTTTCATATTTAAGAAATTTGCTGCCTTGATAAGTTCAAGTATAACTGCATAGCCAACCTGCAATATTATAAAAAAATTTTAAAATGTCGATGAAATCACAAATAGAGCACATAATTATTAAAAAAAAAAAATTGAAATTAAAACTTATAATTTGTTACTGCAGTGGTTATCTATATATATAAAGTAGAAACGACGTCTGTGTGTATCTTATGTTCTTAAAAACTACCCGTACTATCGTTTTAAAATTTTTACCATACATTTACTATACCACTGTGAAGGTTTCTACGATCTTAGATTACATTTTTCTTTTTTTGTTTTTGACTTTTGAATTTTTTTCGTTTTTTATCACTTCGCACACACTCACCTGCTCCCCCACTCTCATCGCACCCTCACACTCAATGCTCATCGCTCATCGCTTATTGGTGATATTCCACAATTTTTAAAAAAGTTAATCCAGAATTCTTCAGTTTAATCGTTAAAAGGCTTTGTTTAAATTTCCCTCTCAGTTGTTGTCGTGCGATGAACGTTGCTTACTTCAAATCTTCTGTCATTCCTAATTGTCCTACCCTCAAGCACTTTTTTAAACATATTCCTGAATGTCTTTTTGCATAAAAAGGCTAAAATATTATTTTGTTTTTATAAATATTCTCCTAGTCTTTGAAATTTAACGTGAGCGAAGCCACGACGGGTACCGCTAGTTTTCTATAAAATCAAGTCCTTAGATGTCAGTCGTACTTCATTTTTGAACTTTACTCCATGAATAAATTTACCGACGTTTTTTAAAGGAACAATGATAAAAATTTTGATCATATTATCAAAACTTTGTTCGAGTTTGAAGAAACAAACAATTCTTGCCGTTGCCCGTACGCGTTTTCACTTTAAATACGTCATATAATGACACTTGAGAATATGGGTATTGTTTTAGAGTACATTAGGATCGATACCATGAAAACTAAAACCCCGATGCTCTCAAGCATCGCACAGATTGATTCTGACGCATTTGAAGTAAAAACGCATACGGGTGGGTAGCGTCAAGAATTTTTCAACGCTTGTCGCAAACCCAAGGGAATTCTTGAAAATACGATCGAACTTTTTTTCTTCAGTAAAATTCTTGAGTAAAGCAAGCAAAATATGAATTTTCACTCTTTAGATTTTAAATTAAATTTTCAAGTTTTAATTGTTCACTACCTTAAAAAATTCAACATCGCAATCCCTCTTTGCTCTCGATATATTTTCCAGTGAGAACCGAGGCAGATCGGTAAGTTGACGTTTCAGAGGGGCTGCGTCATCGTTTGGTTTCTAATAACATCAACAGCTGATTCGGCGGCGCTGTCAATTTTTAGTTCGTTGTAAAAGTATTCAATTTTCGAAATTTTCAATTTTTCGACTTTTTTTATCGTTGCAATCGAAAGATGAGGCCCGTCCTTAAGAATCTAAAAAAATGTCTGGAGCGAAAGAGTACGTATCACTCAGCTCAGTCTCGCGCTCGCGCGGATAGAGCGGCGGCACCTATACAGACATATACAGCTGCTGTGTGCACGCGCGCGGGGTTCGCAGAAGTCGGGCTCATAATAGATATAATTATGTACCTGCCTGATACGCGTGCATGTGTGTACCTCTGCGTATACTTCGAAGCAGCGGCAGCCACGACCAGTTCGGCGCATATATATATATATCTCGAATCGAGCTTTGGTACGTCGAAGAGAAAAAAAACCGGTTTTTCTACGCGGAAGCGCGTAGCCCGATAAGCCTCGACAAGTTTTCCATTGATCCCCGCCTTTTTTGCCTCCCTGCGCCCGCCGCGCGTGTAATCATGGCTCGATGAAATTGTTTTTTTTTTGTTTTTTCTTCTTTACTTTGCAGAGCTTATGTTGTTACCGTACCTCGTACCCGCGCATGCCACACCCATGAAATTGAAATTCATGAATTGCGATTAAACTCGCAGCTGAGAGAAAAAGAGCGAGAGACAGTGGTCCATTGTCAATCGTGCGCGCGTACAACAATATCGGCAGCACAAATATTTTTAATTTAATTTTCTTTTTCATCGTAAAAAATCTCGAATCGATTGTGTACGCGCGTGTCACGCATGATTTACCGCGGGCTCTCGTGCGATGAAACATCATGTCGCGCTGCGCGTGATTTATGAAAGCGTTCGCTTAATTGTTTATTCAGGACATAATTGCTGTCGAAAAAGCGCAGCAGCTGCTGCATAATAAAGCTCTGGCTGATTTTTTTTATTTGCAATCACTCGCAACGAACTCGATTCATCGCGCGGCGCGTTTGAGAGACATTTATTTGGCGCGCGTAATCTCACGAGTGACATTTTAAACGGGCTTTTTGCGAGCTCGCGACGCTGGGCAAATAGTTCGCTGAGCTGTTAATTTAGTGAAATCGATGCAGCGAGCTTATCGTGTCGCGCCGCACGCAAACTTGCATCCCGAAAAACGTGCGACGACGACGATGAAAAGACGTCTATCGAGAGCTCTTCAACGGGGAAGTAAGGCATTTTCCCCCGGAGTGGTTCATTTATCACATTTAATTAAGGTTTTACAAAGCAATTCGCTCGTCGTCCTATGTGTACCGATGCAGTAGTAGCAGTAGCAGTCGATAAAGTGCATGGCAGTTTTGATGCGGGGCCAATGTATATAAGCGGACTTTTGCCTCGCTGCGAGCGAGTGAACCTGAAAAACTGATTTTATTGACTTTGACTCTTATATCGGAGAGAGCGATGGAGACTATTTGCGCGAAATTAATAGCTGACGAGCGAGCAGATTGCTTATTTAATTTTCTACTGCGCGAGCGTCGAGACTCGATATGCGCAGGGATACGGTTTTCATTCCTTACCTTTTTTTATTCCTCTCTTTTGCGCTTCAAATTAGTTTTCATCTCATTCTGTTCGGAGCGACGACGACGACGACGCTGTGATCCATCGGCGCTTTCTCTTCTTAAACGCAATGGAAAAGAGAATTACAAGCGCGCGCGCATGGAAACTTTATTTATGTGTCTTTCGTTGATGGTATACGTATTGCCGCGCGTGACGAGTTCGAGCGTTAAACTTCATCGCTTCCTTGCTCCGTATTATATATATAACGCTCGGGATGTATTTACATTCCGTACGTTATTATACAGCTGACTGTATATAGGACAATGCGATGCGCGAGTTTCGTCTTTAATGCCTTTGCTGCCACTGCTGCGCGTATTATACTTATACGTGTGCGTTTGCGCGCACTGCATCCCGCGAAAAGGATACCGCCGCGCGGCGCTGAAACTAGCTGGCTGCTGCTGCTGCTGCTGCTGCTGCTGCTGCTACGGTGCACACTTCATAGTTTAATTAAACTTTCTTTTAGCGAGATGCTAAAATTTGAGAGATGAGAAATCCGAGGCGCAACTTATGAAATATGAGAGCTGCACTCGCGGAAGAGTAGCAGCATCGGCATCGGTACGCGAGCATACAGCTCTGACAGGCATGGCGGGGTAAGAGAAGCGCAATTTCCCTTGCGCGCGCGCGCGAGAGCGAGAGAATGAAGAGAGAACGTCGAGATTATGTCGGCTGTCGTCTCTCGTTTCGCGACGAATCACCATCGCTCACCTGTTTGTGCTCAAGTTTAGATGTGTAATACTTGAAAAATTTGGAAATTGACGTGTTTTATCAACGTCGAGAGAGCGCGTATAGTGTAGTGGTACTGAAATCTTGCTTTGATTTATACAAGTATTTATACTTAGTCACTTGCAGATTTACAAATAAAGATACTCGCCATCTAGGGGCGAAAGCTTAAATTGATCGATATTTTTATGATTTATCGATTTTGATTTTCAGGACATTTAAGATGCATTTATAATATTTTTAACGCAATTGTAGCGGAAAAATCATAAAAATCCATTTTAAATAATCATTTTTGCGTCATTTGACTATTTTATAAACATTGAACATTTCAACCGGGTTATATTTCGCAAATTAATTAATAACAAATCTAAAGCAATAAATAACACCAGATATCTGTTTCTCAATTTGCAGGAATAATTCGCAACTCGTACGTGCGCAACTACGAACCGGCTTGGTACGATGCGGCCGTGCTGCGACGACATCGCGATCGAGTGCGTCGCGACGCCTCGTCCTCGTCTCAGGCCAGAGTCCAGCCGCTCATCCTGCGAGTTCGCGCCCTCGACAAGTAAGTACATCGCAACGATGATAAATACGCAAAGAAAAAAAAGAAATTAAAAAAGAAAAATGCAAAGTTAACCCTCATCGACACACGCACACACATACTCGTACTTTGCGTTTACATGTATATATACAGAACTTCATTATGCAGCGCGTTGTAAGTCGAATTGTCGACGTCCGACGAGGAACGGCCACACGGCTGCTGCCGCTGCGGCGGTGTGGAAGTTTGCTTATTGTTTTTGCTGGTGTTCGTTCGTGTCGTCGTGGCAGTCACAGCTGCAGCTGTGCAGCAGCAGCAGCAGCCGCGTGTAAATGAAAACTTTTGCCCAACTCATCATCAACTCCGCTGCTATACTGCCACTTCGAGGATGCTCTGTTCGAGCGCGCGCGCGAAAAAATTTAAATACTTGTTAGCTGGCTTATTTGCCTTGTTATCGAGGCGGTATTATGCGTAGTGACGGTAAATAAAATCACCGTGGCAATGAGATTCAATTTTTTTTTTGCTCTCCTTTACTTTTGCCGTTGTTTGGGTTTCGATCCAGAGCGAGAGCTAGCACGACGCGAAATTATGCTCGACGAGCTTTTCACGCTCCAGAATAAAAGTTAGAGAATAGCACGATGTTCGTTAAATTAGCCAATAAAAAACCGAAGTGTAATTCTCTGTTTTTTCTTTCCATTCCACGATAACCACGCAACAGCCAAAACGAACTTTCGTCACACGAACACGGTGCGTCACACGATTCGATTGTTTAGTTGCACTGTGTGCCCGTAGCTAGACCTACCATTGACGTATTGCGTTCATCCCCCTTGCGCTTGGTATACGCATTAATACACGCGTGCGTATAATATACAGACCGCATTATCGGGGTTGAATGGCATGTCGTGGCTGAGTCGCTCCTCTCCTAATGAATAACTAATTGACATTGTGCGCCTCGACGAGCGCGAGCCTCTGCGCGCATCAACGATTGTGATCGATTCGATTTTAATGAGCTGATCTACGTTGCCAATAATAGATTGGCATTTGGAAAACGCCGTAACACGTCGTTGACGCTAGTGTATGTACGAAGGCGCACGTACTACAGTACAACGCAATTTTCGCGTTGTATACGTATAACGATTGACTCACTCTCTCTCTCTCTCTCTCTAAATGGCAATGTCTATGTGTGTGTTCAGTGCGTGCATCGTACAAAGCTCACGATAATGACGTTGTCTCGGTGATGATACTCCGCTCACCCGCATATATATACATGCGTGTGTGTGCATTGCGATGAGCAATGCTAAGCATCTCTCTCTCGCAGCCTCAAAGCTCGAAATCAAGCCCTTCATTTAGCGAAACGGCTCATCAACGACTGCGTTACGGCTCGTTGTTGTATATGTATGTAAATGACGCACTACGCTGGCGTACATATATATACTTCGCGTAGAGGGACGCGCGACGCTGCGGCTGTAAATTTCGACTATATGAGCTTGCATAAAGCTAAATTCGAGAGTTCAAATATCTGCACTGGAATAGCTAAGAAAGTGCCATCACTGCTGCTGCTGCTGCTGTTGTTGATGTTACACAGCTGCTCCTGCTGCAAGCACGCAAATTCGTGCACGTGTATAGCACAGTATCCGTAGAAGCTAGTAATAGTAGTAGTATAATACTTGGCAGAACTGGCGAAAAGCTCGGTGCATACGTATGGCCTCGACGAACAAAGCACTTTTGGTGTGTGTGTTCCTTGCGCACTCGTGGTGGTCTTGCCGCGCGTAAAGCTCGGTACACTCCTCGTGTGCACGCGTGTGCCCTAGCGCCCATGGCACACATTGAACTGCAGATTACACACTTGCGCCTTGCGATATAGTCGCGAAGTACGCGTAAGTACAGTATACTGGCGGGCGCTTATGTATACGTTACAGCTCTCTCTCTCTCGAAAGCTCTCCGTACGTGTGTACAGATAGGCGGCGATGGCGGTACACGTGAAAGCTCGCAGATGCTACGGCGTGCACTCTGCAGGCGTGTTCTTACATGCGATGAGTTGGAGAGAGAGACAGCATATACGCGCGTACATACAGAGGAGAAGAAGCCCTTCCACAACTTCCGAATTTGTATATAGGGTAGACATTGTGTTCCGCTGCTGCGGAGCAACCGCAGCCTAGGCCTCGGCCCGCGTAAGTATCGCGAAACTCCACACCTGCTGCGAAGCTGCTGCAGCACAACCTTTATAACTCCCTACACACTCGCGCGCGCTCGCGATTTCCGACCTTTGTCCGCAGCAGAACTTGCGGGAGAGCGGAGAATCGAAACTTGGGACAGCTGTGTGCGGCTTAAACTCGAAACTTATAGCAATAGTAGTTGTACCCTATGGTAGTACAGTCTTCGCGAGGAAATCCAAACGATCGTGTGCAGCTCGCGCGTAAGTCGTACATTGACTCTCGAAGTGCCTCGGCGTGTATAATAATGTAATCTATAGTATTTATTCGTTGAGGCGTATTAATTGTTCCGGTATGCCGTATATATAATATAATCGAACGAAGTATGAATCGAGAGTAAAAAAGTGGGCTCTTGAAAAGTTTTACGTTTACAGAGCTTGCAGCGCAGGATACTGAATACATTTAAAAAAAAAAGTATACTCATCGTGAGCTTGTTGACATACTTTTTTCTTTATAATGCCAGGCCAGTTTTTCGAAGCGACGAGGGAGAAAAAAAATCACCGCAACTCTGTCTCTCTCTCTCTCTCTCCCTCTCGTTTAGTTCATCGCGCAGCTTTTTCATATATATTCATCGAAATCGCTCGAAAGCGCGCTCCTATATAAACATAGAAAAATGCAGCTGGTGCAGTTCCATATATAATACCTGCTGCTGCCGCCGCCGTCGTCGTTCTCGATTCACTCGTGCGATTGCCTCGCGATTACAAACCCTCGGAATTCGCTGCATATAATGGAGCTTTCAGCGCGCGCGCGCATTTAAGCTCTTAAACTATGCGCTGCTTCGGCTGCTGCGGGCCGCGTGCTGCACTTTCGCCCATCCTTTCGGAGCTGGGGCTTGCGCTTACGTGCAGCACACACACACACACACGCACGCACGCACGTATAAATCCGTCCAAGAGCCCGTATATTAATTCGCTAATTGAGTCGTTTCATTTTCAACGACGTCGACGACGACGACGACGACGAAGTGGCGGCGGCGGTACAGTGCTGCGCTGTTTCAAAGAAAAGAAGGAGGTCGAGTCGTGCGCACTTTGTGCAAAGTACCCGCGCGCGTGCTCCCCTACACACTCGTATTATATACTCTCTCGTCGTGTCTCTTGTGCGTTATACAGTGGCAGCTCCACTCTCGGGGACTACGCGCGTGTACGTCCGCGTATAGTAGTGACTGGGTGCCACCGGGCTTTGACAATAATCAACTAGCCTCTTTTTTTTCTCTGCCTGTTTTTTTTTGCCGTCCCCGAAAAGTCGACAAAAAAACGCGCGCGAGAGAGAGAGACAGACAAGAGCTCGACACAAAGTCAGCCAGTGCATCATGTGTAGTGCACTGGGGCTCGCAGGCGTACTATACATAGCTACATGGATATTACGTAACCCGGGCTGAGACACACGACGAGCGAAAGCTAGACTAGTAGTAAAAAAGTCTTTTTAACGAAAAGGTACCGCGGGGCAATTTGTGCATGGACCCTCTGAGAAAAATCGTCTAATAGACACGCGCATCTACGTCTATGCATGCCACACAGCTGTGACACAAGCGCGTACAACGTTTTTTGCCTCGTGCAGGTCGAGATCTGCATGTCTCGTGTGCTTGTGTGGCTCACGAGGCCGAGATATATATACGATGTGTGCGTGTCGTATGTGCGACTCGTAACTCGAGAGCCTTAGCGAAACTGACTGAGACGTAGTGGCAATTTTAACGTACGCGCTCAAAGCTCGAATTTTTTTACTAGGCTCTATCGAAGAAACGTTAGTTACATTGTCTCACTGACACACGGTAATATGTAATAAAAATTACTGCGTTTATGACCATTTTAAGAAACTTTACTGTACAGATACCCAATATTAATATGAGCGACGGGCATGACAAAAAAAAGTCCTTAACGAAAAATTACTACTAAAATTGATAAACCGCCGATAGATGGCGAACAAGTATTTTTAACAAAACTCGCAAGTGGCAACATAATTTTGAAATTAATATATATTTAAGTATTTTCACACAACTACTCTATTCTTTCAGGATAATTTTGGCAAGTCCATCGGACCTATCGAACATAGTGATTTTTGTTACTTAATCTTTCCTTCAAGTTCATAAGTGCATTCGAGCTTGCAGCTAGCTATATGATATATTTCGCGCTGCGCAAGATAAGCCAGTTCGTTTGCGCGACGTACGTGTCTTCTTTTACGTATTTTATATATATATCACGTCGAAGTGGTGTTCGAACTTTAGGACAAAACGAAAATAAAATGAGCAGCGAATTCGCGTCTATATGTATACGACGATAGAGCTTCGATTCGGCTCGCTCGTCTAACGATCAGAGGGCTGGATTTATTCTCGTGCTCTTTTTATACGTTAACGTTCCTATACACATCGGCCTGCCTCGGTCGAGCTGATCCCTTCGCAAGCGAGCGAGCTTAATGCAGAATCGAGGAACCGGCCAAGAGAGAGAGAGAGAGAGAGAGAGAGAGAGACATTCGAGCAATAAAATGTAAAGTAGAAAGAGAAAAAGGGAAAGAGAGAGAGACGAAGAGCGAGCAAGTTCGATTTTCTTGCTCGATCTTGCTGCAGGCGGCCCTTCGGCTGTACTTCTTTTTCGCGCATAAAACTATCTGGTGTCGCTGGGTGCTATATATATACGTACGAACGCACAGATCTCTCTTGCCCTCGAAGCGTATAATGGATGGATGAGTTAGATCGCGCGGGCGCGACCGAATCACGACGGTGTTTCGTCCTCTTTCGATTTCTTTTCTCTCGGCTGCGCCAGAGGAGCTGTCTCTTTTCTTCCTCGATGCCGTCTGTCTTGTCTCTCCCGGTTTTGTTCGTTTCGTATATTGTGTATATATCTGTTACAGCCGATTCTTCGTCGGATCAAATGGACCAACCAAAAAATTTCTGATCGGTGATAATGTATTAGCATAACGTTTCGTATACGAAACGAGAACCTACTGCAGCTTGAATTTTTCGAAAGCTATGAGATATTTATGAAAAAATTTCACGGTATATAGGCTTTGTTTTACCAAAATATAACTTACTCTGAAAAAAAATATTTGCAGTAGATCATATAATAGGGTAGGATTCTATCATCGAAAGAAATTCTGCTTACACAACAAAATTATTGGGATATATTTTGCTGCTGTATTATATTACTGTCAAAGCAGAATATCACTTGCTGGATCTACCGCTTAGATTTTTTTAGTGTAGCAAAATCCTTTCTTTGTTAATTTGTATTCTGGTGGTGTTACCATTACATTAAAGTTAAGTTTTCATAAATTGACAATAACTTTAATGCTTCTGAGTTCTGCACGATCGAACTTTACGGAGGTATTGCTATTAATTAATGGTTGGTTATATACAAGCTTTCTTAAAGGTTCATGCATGCATGATACAGTGGCGAATTCATATTCATGAATACAATACTTTCACATACGTACGAATTTAAATGTGCAGTGCGGGTATGTACTTACGGTACGTAGTTGATCAGGGTCGAATGATAATTGCAAAATAATATCTTTTCATTATCAGTAACAATGGCAGTTTCCCAATCTTCTGCGATTACAGAAATTATTTGCAGTGGTTATCAAGTGGTGTTAAGAGAATTATTTATTGCTTCAAGGTCAGAATTTTCTATTCGCATACCATTAGGGAGCATAAGGTATTGGTAATTTATAAAGTTTTTATTTCAATTAATGTAAATCAGGAAAGTGGAAAGTTACAATAAAATTAATAACAATTTGGAATCCATTATTGATATTTACAAAACTACAGGATATGTAGGCGAATGATTTTCTAAAATTACGTATCATAATAATGTAAGTGTAGAAAACTTCATTGGATTCAAATTTACCGTAACAAATTTTGAGCTTCTATATGGTTTGTTTTGATTATGCACAGCGTTCACGTGACGTTTGTAATGATATTCGTGTCCAAATGATTTGTGAGAAATCTTACTCTCAAAGGATTTGATTGTGTACAGACTTCATGTGACCTTTTAGAGTATCTTTGCGACTATTAAATTTTTGACATAAATCATATTTGAAGGGTTTACTACGATCATGTACTGCAGTTATGTGAATGTTGAAGGGACCTTTTTTGTCTAAATGATCTGTGACAAATTTAGCATTCGAAAGGTTTGATACGATCATGTACTGTAGTAATGTGGATTTTGAGTTGACCATAAAATTCAAATGATTTGTGACATATCGCACACTCTAAAGGATTTCCCGCGTTCATGTACTGCATTAAAGTGTTTTTTGAGGCTACTTTTCTGTCCAAATGATTTGTGACAAATTTCACATTCGAAAGGTTTGATTTTATTATGTACTGTATTAACATGAACTTTGACGTAATATTTGTGTCTAAATGATTTGTTACAAATCTCACACTCGAAAGGTTTGCTACGTTCATGTACTCCATTAATGTGAGTTTTGAGGGAACCTTTTTGTCCAAATGATTTGTGACAAATCTCACATTCGAAGGTTTTGCTGTGATCGTGAACTGTATGTACGTGAGTATTAAGATTACCTTTTAGCCCAAATGATTTGTGACAGATGTCACACTCGAAAGGTTTGCTACGATAATGTACAGTAATTACGTGAGATTTAAGCGTATCTATTAGTCCAAATGATTTATGACAAATGTCACACTCGACGGGTTTGCTCTGTTTATGTACCAACAACATGTGTCTTTTAAGTATATACTGAACTCCGAATGCCTTATGACATATCGCACACTTAAAGGGTTTGATATGTGCTGCGTTGACGTGAAATTTTAGTCGACTTTGGAATTTAAATGATTTGTGACAAACTTCACATTTTAACGGTTTGCTACGATCTTGTAATACATCAACATGATCTTCAAGTTTAGTCTGGCTACCTAATAAATCACTGTAAGTTTGAGTCTGATATGTTCCTACAATTTCGTGTTTCTTATGATAAGTTTGAATTTGGTTTTCTATTTTCACAACTAGTGGATTACTTGGATCTTCAGTTTTGCAGGTTTTTGTCGAAAAAGATTTCGGTTCAGATTTAACATCTTTGCATTCAAATTCTACGAATATTTTTTGTTCCAACTTTTCTTGCAATTCCTTAACCTCACCCGTGTGATTTGCCTATAATTAAAATTGTATAATGGATATTGTAAAGACAAAATATAATTCAAATCATTAAACTCACTGATGATTCAAATGTTTTAAAGGTTTTGATTTTACAAGAGTTCATCGAATAAAAATTGAAATCATCGTCTGCTTCCGGCCAAGTAACATTAGATTCTTGTTTTACCCTGAGGAATAATAAAGTTTGATGAAACGATAGCTTCAAAAAATGGGTATAAAAATGTAATACCTAATTATGTCCTCTTTACTTTCCATCACTCGTTTTATTATATGAAATCACAGTGAATTTTCAAGATTGGCACTGAGAAAATATTCGAGGTTATACGCTTCGAATAGCCAACGCTATATCTTATATTCGCTTTCACAGATATTATTTGTAAACACTTGCTTACTGCAGGAATTTAGCTCTTTGCTAGCAACCAAACGCTCCGAGACCCGAGTCGATATAATTAGCGAGAAGACCCCACGAAAGCGTAATAGCTCCTTGGCTCCTTACCCCCTCTACCTTAGACCGAATGCACGTCAGAGGGACTCACATGACATTGAAAGTATACATCGAAATGGTAATGAAAATATCATTTAGAAACTTGCACCAATGCAAGGCAGGCTTATAAAAACGTGCTATAATTAGAAATGAAGTTCAATTAACCATGTACTGCAAGCGGTGGTAAAGTAACTACGGCAGTAGCACGAGTAATTTTACAAAATATTAGAAAATTATAATGCTTACAAATTTGTGATGCACAGAGAGAGAGAGAGAGAGAGAGAGTTGAAAGATATAGTAGCGAACGAAATGATATCAAATTCACTCTCACTGCGATACACGTGTATCGGTCGCAATTATCGAGTTAAAACGAAGCTCTGCTAATACCGAAAATTGAATCTTCGGGTAATTGGGAAGATCGTCGACGAGCAGAAGGGTCTTTGCCTCGCACAGAGCCCGCGCTGATATCGGCAAGCTCACTCGGAGTTTCTCGACTCGATCGAGGTGCCATGCCAACACGAGCAGAGCAGCCTTTACACTTTCGATGTCCAATAAGCGCTCGATTGTCTTTTTTACGCTCTCTCCCTCGCGTCCGCCTTTTTGTCTCTCTCTCTCTCTCTCTCTCAAGGATCCTGCTTCGTTTCTTCATTCGTGCGTTTGCAACCTTTAATATAAGATGAAAATCCTACGTCGATTCGAACGCAATGTCATCGCAGGTTTGCGTTGAAATTCGAGTGTCATACTTATCACGCTCTACTTTTTATGTATGACATCGAGTCCTCGAGCTAATTTCTGGTACATGAGATCTCGTCCACCAGCTGTTGAACTTGCGACGAGCCGCCGCGCTTATATTCGTTAGAATTTAGTCGTCCACTTCTTCGTTATAATATCCGTCTCTCTCTCTCTTTCTCTGCGCCAAGAAGCCAGGAGAAAAGCGGATGAGCTCGAGAGGCAAATTATATACACTCTTGGGTCAACGATGTTGACGTCACAGTAGAGTGAGGGAGAGAGAGAGAGAGAGAGAGATGAGCGGCGCAGCACGCGTTTAAAATGAGAAAATCGAGTAAAGAAAAAACGGACTCGACGTTGCCTATATAGCTTATATATATAGCTAGCGCAGCACGCGGAGGTGATAAGCGCGCGCGAAAATGTGGCGCGCAGTCAGCTGCCAGGAGAGACTCGCTTGTTCCTCGTGCTCGTAGTCCTAGATATAGCTGCTGCTGTTGAGAGAGCGAGAGCGAGAGAAGTCGACGGCCGAGATTTATAATATAATGTGAGCTCGCGCGCGAAATCTCAGCCGACTTTGCATTTTAAGGCAAAAACGTACGTATATATACAGCCATGAGTTTGAATTCATATAAGTGTGTGCTGTGCTGCGTGTACGTGTGCGCGCGCGCGCGTTAGCACTCGAGCGGAGCTCGAGCTAGCTCGAGATAATTAGCTTTGTTGAATGCTGCAACATAATTACTCGGCCAGATTCAGACGTCATTTGCAACAGGCCGTGATACATGGCTATAATGCGCGAGCGAAAGAGCGAGAGGGAGCGAGAGAACTCGGCGTATAGCAGTATATATAAGCGTTTCGCTTGCTTAATGCGTGCATAGTTTATTCAATTCCTCGCATATGCGTCGCCGCACGCTGCGTCGAGCTGCCAGTTTTCCTCCGTCGTCTCTTCTTCAGCAGCAGCAGCAGCAGCAGTGGCCGCGTGACGTTCTTCGAACTATGTAATATGTCACTTTTACCCGTTTTGTGCAGTTGCACAGAGGAGCTTTATGTATATGTAATGTATAAAATACCATTGTAGCATAAGTGTGTATATGCTAGTCCAAATGACACGAGTGAACGCGACCTTCTATACTCTACTCGGGATCCGCGCAGCTGCAACGAAGCAAAGCCGCTCATTATTTTACAATTAAAACGTTAAAAGGGATCCCTCCAGAAAAGAGAGACGAGAGAAAGAAAATGGGAAAATTATTACGATAACGATGAGGATTGTCGCGATGGTGCTGGTATAGTACTGCACTCGCTCGTGGCACATAATATCTTCTTCTCCCTTCAGCCGTATACGTAGACGCGCGTGTGCAAATGGCACCCGATGAAACGCGTCCGCGTACATACACGCGCCTTTAGTTCCGTATAATAGCTCGAGCTTGCGTGTCCGTGTGTGGGTGTGTGTGTGTGTCTGCATGTATACGAAAGAGCGTTGTCAAAGGCGAGCTTTTGCCAAAGCTATGTAACATTCAACTGTAGACCGCAGAGTGCGTTTATTCGAGAACGCGAGAGAGAGAGAGAGAGAGAGAAAGGCCACTGTGGCACGCTTGCAGCGGCTACATCCTGCGCACGACTCTCTGCTCCTGTCGTTGACTATACATATAGCTATGACAAAATGAACAAATAAAAATTGAAAAAGAGAAGAGGCTCGCTTGCCCTCTGGTGGGTGGGTGGGTGTGTGCGAGTGCGCAGTTGTGAAAAAAAAAACAAGAAAAAAAATAAAGCGAGCACATAAGAAAGCTCGGTTGGTGTACGCGCGCGCGCGAGCAAAGGTATTATTCCATCCACGAGTAAAAACATTGAATTATGCACAGACGAGCGCTACGTTAAACGCGCGTTTCTCTACCTTCAGCGAGAAAGAGAGAGAAAATTGCGAGCAAAGGGCGGCTAGTAGTAGTACGTATACGTACACGTGCACGTTGTGCACCGCTGCTGCAGCAGCAGCTCGTTATAATCTTTACGCGCGCGTTTTCCTCGAAGCTGCGAGTCGACGCGCCGAGCAGTCCGTTGCAACGGCTCACAGACTATTTGGGGGCTCTCTCTCGGAGCCGCAGAACAAGCGCGTAATATATAATGTAAAATGTATGCACGCATGCACAAACACCAACTATGCGGACGACTATATATGTGTTTGTGTAGCCCCGATTACACGAACTTGGCCCCGGAGGGCGTCGTTTCTAAGCTCGTATACGGCAAATTCGTAGACGAGAGGGCACTAAACCGTGCCTGGAAGTATTTACATTGTTTTCTGACGGACTCTACCGAGTCAATATGAGCATGCGAGCATTTTTGGGTTTTGCGAGCGCCGAGGCATATACTTATTATTTAGTTTTATGTGCGCTAATTTGATTTTACGATAATATACGGAGCTGCGTATTATGTGTGCCTCTTCTACACCCCCGCGAGGCATCGAGAAGATACGCCGAGAAGAATATTTTTGTCGATTCGAGACAAATATTTTCATAATTAACGCGTACGTGCCGAGCTTCGCGAGAAGGAGCTGAGCTCTGTTGTTTCGCGTGGAAAAATTTTCAGCTATTTTCGCGCGCGACAGTAGCCACGGGGATCGGTGTATGCCGAAGCGTCGAGATAAAAATGAAAAAGTTTTCCATTTTTTGTTTGCTCTGTTCTCCGCGCACGCACAGCACTGCTGCACGAGAAGGGGTATCATCGTGCGCGCAGCACACCTTTTGAGAAAATATTCAGTTTCAATTGCAGTGTCAATATACTTTTTCATTTTTACACCGATCTCTCTCTCTCGCCTAGCTTCGACGTTTTTACCCCTGGAATCACGTACGCGCGCGAATATATACGTATGTATACGTGAAAGGTATATCATGACGAGCAGCTGGCGTGCACGCGTATAGAGAGAGATTCCCAGCTTTTATTTCGACGCGTGTATCGCTGCGCGCGATATATTCATCGCGGAGCGCAAAATGTATACGATGGATAGAGGAAAGAGAAAGATTTCACAATTTTACATAATATTTCATTGTGTGCCAGAGACTCAACGGGATCTTTGGCTCTGGACAGAGAATCGAAATTGACGCATAAAAAAATTTTTGAAATTTGAGAGGGTTGTATGCGGTGGCTGCTGCTGCTGCTGCATCCACAGGCGTTGTCCAGCGACTCAGCTTAGCGAGTGATATTTGATTTGTGTTTTTTGCGTGCCTGGACGTATCAAGCCCATCCTGTGCCCTTTTACACGGCATCGCGGTAGGCCGGACTATTGTTGCAGCCAAATTTACCAAGCTCATGCATGTTTGAAATTAACTCGGGCCAGGAAAATTGAACGAAAATTTTGACGTATTTAATTTTCGAGCCAGTTAGACACGCGAATCGGGATGGAGCAGTCGAGCGGGAATGATTGTAAAAGACAAATAGCTTTCGATGCCTTTGAAGATGAACCTCCGGAGAACAAAGCGCGTCATGTATGTTCTCTATTTTTTATCATTTTTTTTTTGGCTTTGTTTTGTCTAGCTCTGCAATTCCACCGTACCACTGCAATTCAATTGGTTAACAAGTATTTATCATTCGGACAATGTTTCGACAAAGAAAAAGACACGCTTCGAATTTTGTTGGATCTAATTTTTTTTTGCAATCCCTTGCGATTTTTTTGTTTTTCAATCTAACGCTCTGAGAGCAGGAGAAACTCTCTTTTCCATTAATACAAGCTTTCATCTGGAACGATATATTTTCCTGCATTTATCAAATTTACGAATTTCAATCAAAGTGGAAACAAATGTTCAATCGATTGTCATTCTAAAAATAGCGAGTGCAAATCAGCCAAGTCTCGAGATTATATCGATCATCGTGGACGATTTGTCACGCGCGTGTCGAGCTTTCACAGTGTACATACATATACCATTTCTGGAAGCGATCGTTCGGTATACGAGCCAATTTTATTCACGCGCGCTGAGCTTTTAACTGCTGCAGACACACGACTGCCGACTTTACTGCGCGTGCATATATTATGCGCCGAAGACATCGATAATTCCCAAGCACTCGAGTGCACAGCTTCGTATTGGGAAAAGTATTACGAGCAGGTCCGCGAGATAAAATTAATGGAAAAAAAGTGTACAAGATGTAAACTGTGCGAATCCGTTCCTCGGCTAGGATGTATGTGCAGTGCATATTATAATCCAGCAGCAGCAGCAGTAGTACTCGTCTACTGCACATCTATCTATATATAAACGTGTATATATAAGGACGATTCGACTGGCTGTATAGTAGGTTTGCGTAATGCTCGAAAAGCTGCACGTTAAAACTGTATGTATGATCTACACTGTTGGACTCGAGCGAGCGTACATAATGCCGAGCCAATGTGCAAGGATACACGGCACGTACGAAATTATATATACGATAACGTACAGCGTTGATGCCGCGAGGATGAGTAGCGTATGATATAAGCAGAGGTCATTCGTATGGTAGACTATTATATAGGTAGGAGAGCGTGAGACGATTGCGTTGCTGTATATAGATCCGAGTCGGTTTACACATATAATGTGTATGTGTGTGTGTGTGTTTATATTTGACCAAGCTCTGAACTTGCCTGTTCCTCTCAAAGCGTAATACACGTCGCTTTTCTTTCGTAAAATGCAAACGGTTTGTATGTATTAGCAGACTGGTTCTTATATTCCAGAGTGAATTTAAATCTTCACTCGAGACTAGATGCTGTTTTTAGGATCTTTGGATCTAAGAAGTAAAAAATGATTAGTCAATGGATTGGATACTTGTTGATTGATGTTTTAGATTGTGGATCATTTATTAATAATATTTGTGCGTGTGATACTGTTTATAATATTGCATTATTGTAAAGAATTATTTGTTCATGTTGTTATACAAAATCACAGTTGCAGTTAACTGTTTGAATAAAAAAATTTAAGATAATGAATAATGATTTTTTAATGAGAACATTATAACGCAATGCGCGATCGGGCATAGTTAATATCACATGTTTAATAACTTATAAATAAGTTTGGATTCCGGCAAAGTATTGTATTATTTTCATGATTTTATATTAGCAACAACAGAACTTCAATATCAACGTGACCGATTCATTGTAAAGTTTTACGATTCGAGTATAACAAGTATTAAAACATCAAAATAATCGTCAAAGATGTACTTACAATTATTAGCTACAGTTACAACAATTACGAAGATAATTCAATAAAATATTAAAATATCGAAATAATCGTCAAAGATTTATTGTGTGCATATTGTTTACCCATTAACCATGTAAAAATTCTTAGTCAATGGTTAATCTTCTATTACTACAATAATACTTTCGTACATGTGCATTCAGACTTTCAGTACGAAATATCACTTTGCGTGCCCAGAGCTTTTTGGCTACCAAGTGTTGTCACGACATCTATTTAAATCAAATCTATAATCATATCATATCTAGCTATTCAGATAGAAATTCAGATTTTGCTCATAATTTTATATGACTGATAACTGACATTTACTCATATTTAACTATAACCTTTGATTAATTCGCTGCATAAAATATAATTTATTTAAAATTTGGATAGTATTTGATAAAAATTACATGAATCGTTTGAAAATGTATATTTTCTAGTATTTTAGAAATTCAGATTTTGCTCATAATTTTATATGACTGATAACTG